CTGCCCCGCCCCTTCCAGGAGTCCCCACACAGCCTGTTTGGGATGCAGGTAAGTGCAGGATGAGCGCAGAGGCTTAGGGAGGGTGGAAAAACGGGCCTCCCAGAAGTTCGGGCCCATTTTCGGCTTCCAGAGAGCCTCCGGAGCCCGGGGAGGCCATTTTCACCCTCCTGGAGGCTCGAGGAAAGCTTCTGGAGGCCAGGGAGGGCAAAAATGCCCCCCCCCCCCACCGTGGTGCAGGAGGCCGACTAGGCCACACCCACCGTCGCCACGTCCAGCCAGCAACTGGGCAGAGAACCCTTTGCTAAAAAATTTTGAAGCCCACCCCTGGCTAGAAGCTCTAACATATGAAGAACAATTGCAGGAATTGTGCACGTCTAATGTGATGAAAAGACGAGAGGTGACATGATAGCAGTGTTCCAATATCTCGGGGGGCTGCCACAAAGAAGAGGGGTGTGTGTGTCAAGATATTTTCCAAAGCACCTGAAGGCAGGACAAGAAGCAATGGGTGGAAACTAATCAAGGAGAGAAGCAACCTAGGACTAAGGAGAAACATCCTGACAGTGAGAATAATTGATCAGTGGAACAACTTGGCTCCAGAAGTTGTGAATGCTCCAACACTGGAAGTTTTTAAGAAGAGGTTGGACAACCATTTGTCTGAAGTGGTGTAGGGTTTCCTACCTAAGCAGGGGGTGGGACTAGAAGACCTCCAAGGTCCCTTCCAACTCTGTTATTCTGTTCTGTTACCCTGTTATTTCTGTATCCAGCCCAAAGAAAGTCTAGACTGGCACAGGATCTCCTGCCATAGGCAGGGGATTAAACTAGAAGACCTACAAGGTCCCTTCCGCCTCTATTATTCTACCCTATGTTCTAAGGCAGGGGTCTTGAAACTTGGCAGCTTTAAGATCTGTGGGCTTCAACTCCCAGAATTCCTCCTCCAGTCATGTTAGCTCAGGAATAATTCTGGGAGTTGCAGTCCACAAGTCTTAAACTTGCCAAGTTTGAAAGACCCTCGATCTAATGTGTTAGTAGTCAGTTTCGGGCACCCTCCATCCTCAAAGAGCCCCTGCTAATTTCACGGTTGAGGTCACCTGGTCATGATGAGAGAAACCATGATACATTGTTAGGAAAACAGGAAGATTTGACCAGGCTAGGGAAAGTAAATAAGATAAGAACACCCGTCCAATGTAAAGCTTGGCAGCCCAGCAATAAATATAAGATAAAACACTGAGGCACAAGAAACAATGTCATGCTGACCCCAAGTTGGTAGTTTAGCATATAGAAAAGAAGGGTGGCAAGGGGAGGGCTTTCTAGGTGTGGTGTGTTCGGTGCAGGGGTATAAAATGTATTGTTTAAGTAGTGAAATTTGCTCTCCTTGTACTCAATCCACTTGGGAAGGGTCCTGGAGGCTGCGTTTGCAACTTCTTTTCTTTCCTTCAATAAACCTTTGACATTTTACATCAGGGACTTGTCCCCGTGACGTGAGTATTTGCAAATTTATTGGGGGGGGGCTCTTAAATCTCACAATGAGACAATTTCTTCTTGAGATATGTGGAGGAAGAATGGCAGGGAATGAACCCAGATAGCACTCATACGGGAATCCTGGATTGTTTCATCATTTGGCACCACCTGTTTTCGCTCTTTTGCATTATGCATTATGGAGTTACTGTCTCATAGCTGTTTCTGTCAAGCCTCCCAAGCAGACCAGACAGGAAATATGACAAGGTGAGCTAATTCTACTTCATTATAAGGTTGCAATAACAGAACCTTACAAGAGTGAAAGTATAAATCTCCTGCTACCATTTTTTTTTTTTGCTGCCGTATAAGCTAGGGTGATTCTTTTCTAAATTTCTTTCTCTTCTCTTGGTTCAGCTGCAGGCTGCCTCCTTATCTGATCATCCTGTAGGCAGCATTGTTTATTCCCTTTCCAAGGTCATTTTCACATACCCTTAAAGTTTTTATTTACCCCAAAACTACAGCTGCATCAACACTGTCTGCTAGTCCATTTTTGTAGAATAAACCACAATTGGCTGTTAAGACTTTATTAAGTCATAAATCACAGTTCACAAGTTAAAGTGGGAGAACCTATTAATTTAAAAGCAAAACTACCACATTATACGGCATCGTGCTCCTGTAAATTTAATCTAGATTTTAGTTAATACTGAGCTGGACACAATTCCTGGTCATAAATAAATACTTGCTATCTGTCCACTATTGTCTCCCCCTTTTGTTATGTGTATAAATCTTGTGATGTATAGATTTTTTTTCTAGTCACCCACTTGCACTCCATGTCCAATGTATGCAGATTTATGTCTGCTAATCAAAAACTCAACTGTTCTGGATGGACTAGTTTGACTTGCAGTCCGTGGTTTTCTTAGTCATTGTACATTTAATCTATACAGTAATCCCCAACTTACAACCATTTAAAGTCACAATAGATCTTATAGTCATAAAATGAAAATTCAGGTAGTTAGTTACTGCCATATATGTACAATGTTTGCTGGGTCCTGTAGTTGTCATTCATACCTTCCTAGTCAACTTCCCACAAGCAAAGATAATAGGGGAAGCAGGATTTGCTTAACCATGTAGTACAGTGATTAAGAATACAGATAATCAGAGTTGGAAGGGACCTTTATAGGTTATCTAGTCCAACCCCCCACCCAAGCAGGAGACCCTACACCATTTCTGACAGATGGGAGTCCAATCTCTTCTTGAAAGTCTCAAGTGATAGCGCTCCCACAACTTCCGGGGGCAAACTGTTCCATTGGTTGATTGTTCTGTCAGAAAGTTTCTCCTTATTTACAGGTTAAATCTCTTCTTGTTCAGATTTGCTTAACAACTGCCTAATTTAGCAGTAGAAAATCTGGTCCCAACTATGTTCATAAATCAAGGACCACCTATATATAATTCCGGTAAGAGCCATTGTCTACTTTCTTATTAAAAACAGAAGTTGTCAAGTTTCCTTTTTAGAAAGACATTGCCACTTTTTCTTCTGTTTGTTTCCAGTGCAAACTAATGGAAGAAAAAGTGGAAATATTGTATTTGTCAAAAGAAAACTTCACAACTTCTGTTTTTAATGAGAAATTAGACAATCGCTCCATTCTAATGGCAGAAAGTGAGGAGGAACCAAAGAGCCTCTTGATGCGGGTGAAGGAGAGTGCAAAAAGTTGGCTTGAAACTCCACATTAAGAAAACTGAGATCATGGCATCAGCCCTCTCAATTCCTGGCAAATAGAAGGGGAAGAAATGGAGGTAGTGACAGATTTTATTTTCCTGGGCTCCAAGATCACAGCAGATGGGGACTGCAGCCAAGAAATTAAAAGAGGCTTGCTCCTGGGGAGGAAAGCTATGGCAAATCTAGACAGCATACTAAAAAGCAGAGACATCCCCCTGCCAACAAAAGTGCATATTGTCATGGCTGTGGAAGGTGGACCATAAGGAAGGCTGAGCACCAAAGAATTGAGGCCTTTGAACTCTGTTGCTGGAGAAGACTCCAGCGAGTCCCTTGGACTGCAAGGCCATCCAACCGGTCAGTCCTAGAGGAGATCAACCCTGACTGCTTTTTAGAAGGCCAGATCCTGAAGATGAAACTCAAATACTTTGGCCACATAATGAGAAGGAAGGACTTCTGGAGAAGAGCCTAAGGCTGGGAATGATCAAGGGCAAAAGAAGGGGACAGCAGAGAATGAGGTGGCTGGCTGGAGTCACTGAAGCAGTAGGTGTGAGCTTAAATGGACTCCAGAAGATGGTAGTGCAGGGGTCACCAATCTTCTGGACCTCAGGGAACCACCAAACTCATAATTTTAGATCCCAGGGACCACTAACCAGTTCTGTGGGCATGGCCTAATTTGTGGGCGTGGCTTGGTGGTCATGTGACTCGCTGGGCATGGCTTGTATGTAAATATTCTAAATATTTATATAAATATTGATTTTTTTATAAAAAAAGAGCAACTTTTACCAAAACCAGGCAAAGCAGGCAGGCAGATTGAGTTGCTCGCAGAATCACAGATTCATTCAGAAATCTATGTATCTGCCATTGGCTAGCTCAGTCTGTCACATAAAATTTACTTGCAAGCAAACTCACAAAATTAACTCACAACACACCATGCATGTAAATATTGAATTTTTTATTTAAAAAAGAGCAACTTTTACCCAAAATCAGGCAAAGCAGGCAGATTGAGTTGCTCACAGAATCATTAAGTGATCTATCTATCTGCCATCGGCTAGCTCAGTCTCTCAAATTTGCTTGCCGTGAGTCTGCACTGAATTTGCTTGCAAGCAAACCTTCAGTCCTAAGGGAGGTTCGGCTGTGCTGAGCCAAAGATCTAAAGACTAGCTAGAAAGCAAGAAATCCAACCATTTCCTGCTTCCTAGCTAATCTAAATCTCCCAGCACAGCAGAAGAGATGATGGTCGGAAAAAGGAAAAATAGCAATTTAGCAGGCAAGTTTGCGGGGTAAAGAGTGAGTGGGCGGGGAGGGTTCCCGCAGGCCATGTGGGCGGCGCAGCCTTGTGTTTCTGTGCAGCCTGGATTAATTGCTTTGTGAGGGTGCTCTGGGGGTGAGATTTCTCTGCAGACCACCAAAATTTTCTCATGGGCCACCGGTTGGCGACCGCTGTGGTAGAGGACAGGAAAGCCTGGAGGAACATTTTCCATGGGGTCACGATGGGTGGGACATGACTTCGCAATTAACAGACAATGGCTCTTACCCGAATTATATACAGATAATCCTTGATTTACGAATATAATTGAGATTTTCTACTGCTAAATCAGGCAGTTTTTAACTGAATCACTCAGGTGTTCGTTAAGCAAATTCGGCTTCCCCTATTATTGTTGCCAGTTTTTTTCAAATCACATCTGTTTTTTTATTGCTTTCTTTTTCAGAGTTTCTACTTGCACTCCATTCTCATAAATTATAATCAATACAGCATTTTCTACTTACAGAAACAAAGAAAATATAAAAAAAAAACCCAAGAATTATGAAACATTTCAAAGTTATTTACCTTGTTAATCATTCATGTTTTCACTTTTTCCAAGTATTAAGCAAGGCGGATGGTCCTTCACCAAGACCTGTCGAAAAGTCAATGTGAGATTTTTAAAAAAGTAGACAGAAACATACCAATTGTCAGCGCTTGCAAAACAAAGCCATTATCACTCCTTAACTATACATTTAAATGCATTCACAATATATACCTGCCCATTACATAGTGTTTGTTATAATTTCAATATCTCCAATAACTCAGGGCTGCCACAAAGAAGGAGGAGCGAAGCTATTCTCCAAAGCCCCTGAGGGCAGGACAAGAAGCAATGGGTGGAAACTAATCAAGGAGAGAAGCAACTTAGAACTAAGGAGAAATTTCCTCACAGTGAGAACAATTAATCAGTGGAACGACTTGCCTCCAGAAGTCGTGAGTGCTCCAACCCTGGAAGTTTTTAAGAAGAGGTTGGACAAACATTTGTTTGAAATGATAGAGCTAGTCCATGATAGAGCTGCTTGAACAAGGAGTTGGACTAGAAGACCTCCAAGGTCCCTTCCAAGTTGTTATGCTATTCTTATCTACAGGCAAAGATTTATTTCCCTTGCACAGAAAAAGAATCCCATTTCAATGCATGAATATTCTTTAAGACAGTCCATGCCACACAATAAAAAATTGCTGTGACAAAAGTAAGTAGCATTCTAGGGTTGATTTTCCATATTATGCTAAAGTACATTTCCCTTGATTCAGATCAGCTGCAGAAACAAATACAAACTTGTTTTTAAATCTGAATATTAAAGCCTTCTCTTTCATCATACCACAAATGTTGTTTAAAACAGGAATTTCCCAGTCTATAACTACACCCCAGGTACTCCCCTCCCATAATTGCTTCACAACCTCAGTGAAAAATATAACCTGCAGCTAAACACCTTAGCTGATCAAAACAGACCCAAAATGTACCTAGGTTTTTAATAGTCACATTTTGTTACACATCAAACTAAACTTTAGGCTGTTTAAATAACAGGTCAGCAGGAGGAATATTATTTTAGCTGCTGATATCAGTGTTTGTGGCTGAGGTTTGCAGCTGGTTGACTTTGCTTTTGCGGTGTTGTTAGAAGTGCATGAACCCATGTTTGCATGTCAAAAAGGTCAGCCAGCAAAAACAGAACACCAAGAGAATGCAACACTGATAACATAACAGCGGGTTGATCTTTTCACACAAGCACATATGTACTAGTCATTTCCGGCTCTAGGGGACGGTGCTCACATCCGTTACAAAGCCAAAGAGCCAGCACTGTCTGAAGATGTCTCCGTGGTCATGTGGCTGGCATGACTAAATGCCAAAGGTGCACGGAACGCTGTTACCTTCCCGCCAAAGAGGTCCCTATTTTTCTACTTGCGTTTTTACATGCTTTTGAACTGCTAGGTTGGCAGAAGCTGGGACAAGTAACAGGAGCTCACTCCACTATGTGGAACTAGGGATTCGAACTGCCGACCTCTCTGATCGACAAACTCAGCGTCTTAGCCACTGAGCCCCCACGTCCCTCTTAAGCTGCCATTAGAATCACATTAAAGATGAGCCTCTGTGGCACAGTGGTTAGAGTGCAGTACTGCAGGCTACTTCTGCTGCCTGCCTGCAATTTGACAATTCAAATCCCGCCAGGCTCAAGGTTAACCCAGCCTTCCATCCTTCCGAAGTGGGTAAAATGAGGATCCAGATTGTTGGTAGCAATAGGCTGACTCTGTAAAACCACTCAGAGGGGGATGTAAAAGCACTGTGAAGCGGTCTAAGTGCTATTGCTACTTCAGTGATCCAGGTTATTAAAGCAGCAGCATCTTATGGAGGCTCCCACACAGATCTTCCTGTTTTAACGAACACAAAGTAACTGCATTCACACAGGTTCCAAAATATTTCAAATCTCATATGATGAATGCACAGCTCTGGAACATGCACTGTTCCTTACATTCTGTGACAAGTTCACCAATTCTTTTTCTTTTCGCTGATGATGTAAAGCTATTCAACACCACCAACAATCCTGCTACCTTTCAAAAAGACCTTGACTATGTGTCAGAATGGTCAAACAAATGGCAACTTCAAATCTCAACAAATAAATGCTCTGTCTTACATATTGGCAAAAAATAAATAAATCAGAAAATAAAATACAAGCTGAATAGTCCAGACCTTGTTGATGATCCAAACTCTGTCAAGGACCTTGGAATACTCATCTCTAATGATCTAAATGCTAGAGCCCACTGTAACTACATAGCCAAAAAGGCATTAAGAGTTGTTAACCTAATCCTACGTAGCTTTTTCTCTGATAATATTACACTACTAACTAGAGCATACAAAACATTTGCTAGACCAATACTCGAATACAGCTCATCAGTCTGGAACCCGCATTACGTATCTGATATTGACACAGTTGAGAAAGTCCAGAAATATTTCACAAGAAGAGTTCTCCACTCCTCTACTAGTTGCGGAATACCTTATGCCACCAGACTTGAAATTTTAGAAAACCTAGAACTATGCCGCCTTCGATCCGATCTAGGTATAGTATATAAAATCATACATTGCAATTTCCTACCTGTCAATGAATACTTCAGTTTCAACCAATACAAGAGCAAACAATAGATACAAACTCAAGGTTAACCGCACCAAACCTGATTAGAGGAAATACGACTTCAGCCACAGAGTGGTCAATGTCTGGAATATTCTACCTGACTCTGTGGTTTCCCAAACCCCAAAAACTGTAACCTTAGACTGTCTACTATTGACCTCACCCCTTTCCTAAAAGGTCTGTAGGGGGCGTGCATAAGCACACCAATGTGCCTACCGTCCCTGTCCTATTGTTTCTTTTTATTTTTCTTATATGTGTCCATTTCATGTAATCATAACTATGTTTATACTTATACCTGTTATCTTATAATCGTTTGACAAAAATAAATAAATAAAATAAATAAGTAGAGAAATTCTACTAAACTTACACCCTATAAATACGATCATTTTGTAAACCCAACGTATGCAATAGAGGGGGCGGGGGGCGGGACACGACTTCAACAAATGCACCCAACTGCCTTCAAATTTTGCAACTTTGGAAAACGCTGGGATATTCTTTAGAATCCTTTCCCTCTTTTCTACTACTTTATCTACACTTCTTTCCCATTGTATTAAATTTCTTCTTCTTCCTTAACTCCAAATCCGCACCGTTTCAATTCTGCTTTAACACGTCAAATTAAACATGATTTTAAAAAGGGAAACGGAATGCAGAGCCTCCTTTAAAAAAAAAAAATTATCTGCCGCACCCATTTTTTTGTTGGACCTTAAAGAGCAATAAAAAAAATAACATTAATACAATTTAATAGCAAGCGAATCGACAAGCTGGGAACTATAAAGCGTTCAACTTGAGAGCTTCCAAACTTGGAAAGGGTTCCTTGGCTCCGTTTCTGAACCAAGCGCCGATCCGATCTGCGCCAATTAACGGCAGATCCCGTTTACACGACAAAGGAACCAGAGATAAAGAAGCCACGCTTAAAAGCCCAAAACAAGCCAACCAACCCTGTATTTTTCTCCAGGCGATAAAGACGTTCCCTTGCTGACTTCCTGCACGCTGAAACCTCCTCGAAAAAGAGAAAAAGCTTCTTCTCTTCTCCCCGCAAATTAATCACATTCCGGTTTGGGGCGTTTAAGAAAGAGCAGCGAGCTGGATTTACAAGCATGGCAAGGCAAAGCGAGGCTTCAATAGAAGCTTGACTGCGCCCCTGGAACGCGCAGCCATTGGCTGCCGCGGGAGGCGTGAGAGGGTGATCAGGGAGATGATTGGCGGCCGTGGGGAGCAAAGCCACGCCTCCCCGCACCACAGCTAACTAGCGTGGGGCTTTTCTGACTGGGTTCTGTTGCCCGCCCCTAGCGGCCGTTCGGAGTGTTGCAGCCTCAAACCAGGGACGCGCAGAATTCCGAACGCAACGGAACCCGCCCGGGGGTTCTTCGCACGTGTGAACGGGCACTAGAGAGCGTTTTTGGGCTCTTTTGGATGCGGGCATTTCCAGGAAATAAAATGAACCCGCATGTTTTCATCCCGAAGCCTCCACGCCCGTGCAAACCTTAGGAAGACTAACTGGGGGGAAAAAAAGACGTACCTCGTATCGGGTGAGCCTGCTTGCTAAGCAACCGGAGCCGTGTGAGTTTACTCGGAGGCGAGGCGCTCCTCCCCCACCTCTACGGGAAATGACAGCGAGCCCAACCCCAAACTCCCTTCCTCTCGAATAAGCCCTCCCCGCATCTAGATATTAGCTTAACAGAGTGGGAAGGGACCTTGTAGGTCATCTAGTCCAACCCCCCCCCCCCGCGCCGAAGCATGAGACCCTACACCATTTCTGAAAAAAAGCAGTGTGTGTCTGTCAGTCTTTTGCTTTGTGCAGTCTCTCCTCCCTCCCCGGGAGGAAATTACGAATGCGGGTGTGTTTTGTTTGTGTGTGTGCGTATGTCAGTCAGTCACGTTTCTAGTGGGGGATTTGCCCGACCCGGGACCCTTCCAAACCCGGGGGCGGGGGGCATGGGTTTCCCACGCCGGTTTCGCCAGCGTTTCCTCAACAAGCCTGGATGAAGTCGGTTTGCATTCCGGTTTAACCCTAATCCCGTGCCCAGCCATCAGTGCTCCGTGTCCCCAACGCACCCCAGTAATACCCACACCCCCCAGGACCGCAGCGCCTGCAAACACGGGAAGCTCCACGTGCGCGCAAATACCCACGTTCTTCCAAAGCTGCGCGTGTCGACCCCGTTGGCTCTTGCGGCTGGCTGGTCTTTTGGGTTGGGAGAAGGGGAAAAGGCGGCAAGGGGCAGCAGCCCCGCCTGGATACGACCCGCCCTCCTGCCGGCCTCGGATGGCCTCGCGGGCTGCTTGGCTGCGCCACACCCTGCGATCAAAGCCGGACTGCCTCGGCGAAGGCGAGCCCGCGGGGTAGAGAGGCGAGGCTCGGTGCCGGCCGGCCTTCCGCTGGCCTGCAGGTGGATTCCGACGTTGCACGAGACAGGGAGAGGAGGAGGAGGAAGAAGAGGGAGGAGGAGAAGAGGAGGAAGAAGAAGAGGAGGAGGAGAAGGAAGAAGAAAGAAGAAGGAAATAAAGGAAATAAAGAAGAAGAAGAGGAGGAGGAAGAGGAAGAGGGAGGAGGAGAGGAGGAGGAGGAAGAAGAAAGAAGGAAAAGAAGGAAAAGAAGAAGAGGAAGAGGAAGAGAGGAGGAAGAGGGGGGAGGAGAGGAGGAAGAAGAAGAGGAGATGAGGAGGAGAAGGAAGAAGAAAGAAGAAGGAAAAGAAGAAGAAGAGGAGGAGGAGGAGGAGGAGGAGGAAGAGGGAGGAAGAAGAAGAGGAGAAGGAAGAAGAAAGAAGAAGGAAAAGAAGGAAAAAAAGAAGAGGAAGAGGAAGAGGGAGGAGGAGAGGAGGAGGAAGAAGAAGAGGAGAAGGAAGAAGAAAGAAGATGGGAAAGAAGGAAAAAAAGAAGAGGAGGAGGAGGAGGAAGAGAAAGAAAGAAAAAGAAAAAGAAAGAAAACTTACTTTCCGGGTTGCCCAGACGTTTTCAGCACCCTGCACAAGCTGGTTTCTCCAGCTCTGCTCCTTGCGGATTACCTAGGCAAGGCTTCGTCTTTAAAGGGATTTTGGATATGATCTTAAGGCTAATCCATGATAATACACTCGCTCGCCTTTAAAGGTCAGGAGAGAGCATTTGGTTAGGTTTTCCCGGAGTCCCTAAAACAAAACAACCCCTTTTTTGCCTTTTTTTTTTTTAAAAAAAAAGTGATCAGAAAGAAGGAGGGTGTTGATGGTGCTGATGGAAAAAAACCCAGGTTGACATTTGGCACGTTTTCTGTTGCAAGCCTTTCCAAAGTGGAGGCTTGGGTTTTTTCCATCATCAGTCAGGTACTTGATCTATTCCTCTGGACTGTTGTAAATGTCAGTGAGTTGATAATTTTTGGCTCTTCTTCTGTGTATTTCCCCATTTATATTTAGGAGAAATGCCAGATGACAAAACGTGTCTTTGAAAGAAAAGAAAAAAAAAACGTGAGCACCAAAGCCCTTTTTAAAAAGGTGTTGAATGGCAACCTGTCGATACCTTTGGTTATAATCAGTTAAAAAGCTGATTGACTATAAACCTCTGGAGAATCATTTTGTCGGTTTAAAAAGCCCTACTTGCTGTTTTAGATAGATAGAATACTTTATTGGCCAAAGGTACATTCGTTAAGAATCAAGAATCATAACGTACAACACTTAATGATAGTCATAGGGTACAATCAACAATCAAATCATACTAGGAAACAGTCAAGTGGGAGGGGATGGGTGATAAGGAATGGTGAGAAGATTAACAGTAATAGTAGTGTACACTTTGTAAATAGTTGAACAGTTGTAACGTCTGTAGTAAAGAGTGAGTAGGTCTACAGTGGATTTTTACCACACTTGGAAAAGGATCTCCAAGAGGTCAAGACATTTCTGATTTAATCTCAGTCATTACACAGAGTCCAGCTACTAATGTGACTAATAATAAACACAATATACAAAAATCCTCCTCAGCATACCAATATGCTAGGAATCCATTGGCAATATCCATTTTACTCTCCAAATTCATGGACACCTAATCAGGCTCAAAAAACATGCACCTTCCTAACCATACCTATGGGTTCTGAATCCATTGGCGATGTCCATTTTGCTCTTTGAATTCATGGAGACCTAACTCTAAGTGGATTTTACCCCAGTGGGATTTTCCCATGTACTTTGCCAAGAAACCTAGATAAGGCAGGCTTAAAAAGCATGCACCCTCTGTCCTGGTCAGACAGTATATAGTTAATTGGGAATTGGGAGTTGTCTCTTTAAGGGAATGCCTCATGGGAAATGTAGTTCATGTCATGTGGTCACATCTGTAATCCTGATTGGTCACTGAATTGACCTCTAGTTGGGTTGGGGGAAGCCTTTGTTCTTTGCCTTGCCTGGACCCAATAAGGTGCTGGATCATTTGCTGTATCAATATGGGATGAAGATAACCATATTTTCACACTATGAAGACAACTATGCAAAGATTGGACATTAGATGAATCTCAGCGTAACTCTGAGTTATACCTTGAGGATGCCTATTATGATCCAATAAAGAGAATTTTGTATGGAAGCCTTTGTAGAGTTTTAACTGCTTATCTCAAGTATCTGAGAAGATAAATCTTGCTTGGGACAAGACACCCTCCTAACCATACCGATGGGCTCTGAATCCATTGGTGATGTCCATTTTGCTCTCTGAATTCATGGAGACCTAACCCTAAGTGGATTTGTCCACCAATGGGATTTTCCCATGTATTTCACCTGGAAACATAAATAGGGCAGGATCAAAATGTCTGCACTCTCCTAAGCCTACTGATGTGCAAGGAATCCATTGGCGATGTCCATTTTGCTGTCCAAATTCATGGAGACCTTACCCTAAGTGGATTGGCCCCCCCGATGGGATTTTCTTGTGTATTTTACAAGGAAACTGACAATAGAAATACAATGACTACGGCAAAAGAAAGCAAAAATGGTACGAATAGGTGCTGTGCAACCAAAACCATCTGGAGCTGCACTGAATACCATCAGCATTGACACAATCACCATCAGTCAACTGCAAAAGGCCACTTTACTTGGAACAGCTTACATCTCACTATGATACCTGTAATATTAAACAAGAACCTTTATCGCATGTCCTTAAGAAGTACTAGGTAGGTGGACATATGTGGCAATCCTGTGTAAACCTCTGGCTGACTGTATGACGAGTATAATCATTTGAATTTTGCATTGTCAAATGATTTGGGGAGGGTGACTTTCCAATAAAGGTGAAAATTGGGGGTATTCTCTGTTTTTGTAAAAAAAAAAAAAGAATAGAGAATACCCCAATACCTGAGCAAATGGGGAACTCGGTATCCTGTATGAGTCGGAACTGCCTCTTGTGGTCTCTAGAAACTCAGCTGTTTAATGATAGATGACATGTACTGTTTGGAAAGGCTTAGATTAAATCAACTGGCATTACATTAAAAAAGTAAAACAGGTTCCTGTGTAAGTCTTGAAGAATCATCATTAGCGGTTCGGTTTGTTTGGTTTTAGGGTTCAGTGCAATGAAGCATTCTGAACAGTGGTGGGATTCAACATTTTTTTTTACTACAGGTTCTGTGGGCGTGGCTTGCTGGGTGTGGCTTGGGCATGGCTGGGGAAGGATACTGTAAAATCCCCATTCCCTCCCCACCCGACTAACCTGCTTTCCAGCTCCGTTCTCCTGTGCAGGGCAACCAAAGAAGACCCAGCCAATCAGCTGGGACTCGGGAGGCGGAGAATAGATGCGGGCGGGGCCAGTCAGAGGTGGTCTTTGCTGGTTCTCCAAATTACTCAAAATTTCCACTACTGGTTCTCCAGAACCGGTCAGAACCTGCTGAATACCACCTCTGATTTTGAAGCTTATTCAAGGAAAGATGGCTGCCACAAGGAAGAGGGGGCCAACTTACTTACCCAAACACCCCTAGGCAGGAAAAGAAACAATGGATGGAGAGAAGCAATCTAGAACTAAGGAGATCATTTCTAATAGCGAGAACAATTAACCAGTAAGAACAAATTGTCTTCGGAAATTATGGATGCCCCAATACTGGAGGCTTTTAAGGACAGAGTTGACAACCACCTATCAGAAATAGTATAGGTCTCCTACGAGAGCAGGGTGTTGGAATAGATGACCTCAATGGTTCCTTCCAACTTTGTTAACTGTTACTATCTAGGTCTGGAATGAA